AGGTAAGCGTTATTTTTTAAATCCTTCACTTTTCCTGTTTACAGTACGTCTTATAGGTGGGTGTCTAGCCCTCTGAAGACTTCGGGTTGCGAAGCCATCAAACGGCATCTACGGGTCTGTGTATGAGAAGTCCCGGTGTTGGTTACAGCCTTGCCTCCCAGGCAACCAGAAGCCCCACCCCCAGTTTGTTTCTGAACTTTTAGAATTGCTAGGAGAGAGACAAAGACCGAGAGAGAGAGACCGAGACCGAGACAGAGACCGAGACAGAGAGACAGAGACCGAGACAGAGAGACAGAACTGAGACAGAGAGACAGAGACCGAGACAGAGAGACAGAGACTGAGACAGAGAGAGAGACAGAGACCGAGAGAGAGAGACAGAGACTGAGACANAGAGACCGAGACCGAGACAGAGACCGAGACAGAGAGACAGAGACCGAGACAGAGAGACAGAACTGAGACAGAGAGACAGAGACCGAGACAGAGAGACAGAGACTGAGACAGAGAGAGAGACAGAGACCGAGAGAGAGAGACCGAGACAGAGACTGAGACAGAGACCGAGACAGAGAGACAGAACTGAGACAGAGAGAGAGAGACAGAGACAGAGACCGAGACAGAGATACCGAGACAGAGAGACAGAGACCGAGACAGAGAGAGACAGAGAGACAGAGACCGAGACAGAGAGAGACAGAGAGAGACCGAGACGGAGACAGAGAGAGACAGAGACAGAGAGAGAGAATGAGACCGAGACAGAGAGAGAGAGACAGAGACCGAGACAGAGAGAGACAGAGAGAGAGACAGAGAAAGACAGAGACTGAGACAGAGAGAGAGAGACAGAGACTGAGACAGAGAGAGAGAGAAGAGGTAGGAGCAAGGCTGCCACTCGGTCTGATCTTTTACCCCCGAGGCTGGAACGGGGTCTCCTCTCCTCCCCCGGGAAAGTGTGAAGCTCTACTCCCCTGTCCCCAGCGTCAGGAACCCTGTGTAGCTGAGAAGCAAAGTCGATTCCACATCTCAGAGCTCCACGGAGAACGCCGTCTGTCCACAGTAACTTTACTTTGGGGGAAAGTCGCTACCCCGACAAAAACCACTTGGGATACTAAGTGAGGAAATGGCTCGAAAGGCAGGGTCCCGGCCACATGGGACCCTCAAGCGGGCGCCACACCCCTCACGGCCGAGCAGGTGCTGCGGGTTGGACGTGAGGAGGGCTCTGGTCCTGACGGGCCCGCGGCGAGGCCCCGACACGTGGGGAGGCCGGGCTGTGGCCCCGACACAGGGAGCACACACTGCCTGGGGCCGCTCCCTTCCCTCTCACCTTCCCTTCTCTCCTGCTTTGAGTTTTCTCCCATCTTTGAAAACCAATGTTCATGCCCCCAAAGGAGAAGACTTGCTAAGGTGCCTGCCACAGAGCCTGGCCCTACAGTCACTGTTAGCATCACGCACATCTGGTGAGAACAGAACACATTCAATACAGGACCCAGAAATGGCTGAGCAGCCCGGCCCCTCGCCCATCGCCCGCCGGCCACGGGGGTTCTTCCCGACAGGGGCCAGCCCTGCGTCTCATTGATCCCTGATCCTGGAGTGGGAGCCCAGGGGGGCCCGCCAGCCGGCAGGACCGGCTTGTGGCCGGAAGGTCTGGGAGCAGGTCTGAGTGCTGCTTCCCATCCCAGAGAGGTTGGGCAATTGCTCACCTCAGGTCCAGATTCCCCGCCTATGAGCCACGCCACCGCTCCTGGCGAGGGTGGGATGCTGCGCGGAAGGCCCTGCCCCGTGCAGATGCCTCGCGACGGGCCCAGTCAAAGAGTTAACCCTCACGCCGGACGCTTCGGGCAACGCACACGAGGGCCGGACGGCTGGTTCCGGGCCTGGTTCCGACAGTTCTCTGCCCCTGCAGGTCCGTCTCCGCTTCCCAGAAAGGAGGGGGCTACGCAGCCCTCACGCGGCTCCCCGTGACCGGCACATCAGGAGTCGCGCTCTTGGTCACTTGCCCCGGCTGCCGGAAGGCATCTGCGAGGGGGTAGGGTGACGGACTGGCGCCTTATCTTCCCAGGATCTGCCCCATTTCATCTTAGAAAAAGACACAGGTCCTTTCCCTTCCCACGCTGCCGGGACTCTGAAGCTCGGCCGAGACGCTCACGGTACCACCTGGGCCTGCACAAGCGCGGGCCCTGAGAACGGCCCCCGGCCAGGGCTGAGCCCGGTGGACCCGAAGCCGAAATTAACCTCAGCCCCGAAATTAACCTCAGCCCCTCCACGGCCCCAACCGCAACTCACGGCGGCTTGGCAGCAAGGCGACCCGCCCCCTCCGCCCGCACCCTGCTTTGGGTGACCCGAGGCGTCTATTTTAAGAGATTCTCAGGCGCATCGCACTCTATAGGTCAAAGCGTCACTTTACATCTGCAATTCCCCGATGACAGAGTCAAAGGGACAAGCGTGTTCCTCCTGGTGAAGTCCCGGCAAGACGGGTCCTCAGCCTCTCTGTCGCCCCGGGATCTCTCTGCGCCCCCGGGCTGACGTGCCCGCATGCTGAGAACACGCACACGTGTGCGGTCATGGCAACTGCTGCGGGGCTGCTCCCACTACCCGGGAGGTTTCGCTGACCGGGGCTGTGGCCAGGTCGGGAGAGCCGCAAACCAAGCGGATTTTATGTCAAGCGTCCTGTCGTCTTAAACGTATTGTAGAAGCTCGAGAGCGAGGCCGGCAAAGGGCCGCTTTCTCACCTGTTGAGGACAAAGCCAAGGTTCTGGCCCGAAGAGACTCTATTTTCCCTGTTAACTTTCTAATTCAGGGGAAAAAACCCCAAGGGCCTACTCAAACCATGGTGAAGGTAAAAAGGCATTTTCTTATAGAAAAAACAAAACAGAACAAGGGAAAACAGTCTTTTGTGAAAATACCTTGGACGCTTATTTTTTAAAAGTTGTTCTTAATAATTTTACAGGGGATGGGCTGGACATCAAATCCTATGTGGGAAGGAGCATGAGCCACGCAGCTAACACCCCGCAGAGCAGCAGCTACGCCCCCGGGGACGCGGAAAGTGACTTATTAGCGCTGAGATGTTGTTGAAGTAAAAAGTTTTAAAAGGGGCAAAAGGGGTGATGCTCCGTGGTAAGTCCCTCCCTCTGCTGAGCTTATAGGGTCCCCAAGAGCCGAGGGACACCCGCCACCAGGGCCTCCGCCAGGAGCTGCTGACGGGGAGGGAGGGCGTTCACCCGCCTCTCCCCCCCTTTTCCTTCTGGTCACCGGGCATCTCTGATGAGGAGGGAAATCAGACAGGAGTCACTCCCCAAACCCTGAGAAACAAAGCTGACTTCACGGTGACAGTTTCAACTTGCCCCCACGTGGCTGAATTTTCCATCCCCTTTAAAAAATGCCTTAATATTCCCGGTTGCACTTTCAGCAGAGAAAGACGAGCCCACTGACCAGCCGCGTGGCGCAAATGGTCAGTGACGCCGCGGGCGGAGCAAGCAGGCCACGAGGGAGTCCTGAGGATGACACGATTTCATCCAAATGGCCCTAAATGCAGGATCGCCGGCTCTCCCCGAGAATTTTGTTCTATTTCACCCGAGCCCATCTCTCTCACCCCTAACGTGCCCTCGGGCCTAACTGACCACACACACTCCCATTGTGGAATTTAACAAGATCAAGATGCATGTTTTGAATCGGTACTTGCGATTATGAAGCACCAAGAAGCCAAGGGTGTCGGGGGGTCGCTTCCGACATACACCCGAGACTGCAGAAGAGAGGGAGCCCCCACAGTCAGGCTTTTGCTTTCTGTGTGTACACAAAAGGGCTGCTGGACAGACAGAAAGACCACTTAACAGCTGGGGCCACAGTATCTCCCAGGAAGTTTCTCTGGGAATTTTACATTCAAAGGAAAGAACCTTCCCAACCTTCCCCAGAAACGTAAGTGTGAGAGGAAATGGCACGGCCCCAGGCTCTGTGCGCGAGGGGGCCCATGCTTCTGAGAGCCCAGGTGCGCTAACCCCAAAAGAGCACCCTCACCCCGAAAACGCTGCAGAACTCAGGACACTCATCCCACATCCCACAACACAACCCACACAGAGAAGATGCCCGGGGCAGCGGACTCTGCTGTCCCAGGAGGACTGGCTGCCTGTCCCTTGCCGGCCACCGGCCGCCGGCCCCCTCCCCCCACGCAGTGTTTACCTTTCCCTTTGAGGTGAACAGGCCTGCTAGGCTGGGACGGGCTGGGACGGGGCTGGGACGCTGGGACGGGGCTCTCTGGGACCATATCGCAGGCAGAGGGGCCTGCTTGGCTCAGAGAAGCCGCCGTGTTTCGGAAACGTGAAATGGTATCACAGAGCAAACACCCCCTGACGTCAGCAGGTGAGCTCTGGGCATTATCTAATCGGGCACAGTGGGTTTNTGAGCTCTGGGCATTATCTTATCGGGCACAGTGGGTTTTATGCAATGGTTATATTTTACAGTGGGGTTGCAGTTGCCAGCCTGCCCCACGGGGGTGCAAATAACCTGCCCANCTGCCCCGCGGGGGTGCAAGTAACCTGCCCGCTTTGTGGGTTGCAAATTTATTTACTGCAAATAACACCTCTGCTGCGATGGTACCCCAACTGTCCTCCTAGTTTTTTATATTTTCAAAAGAACAGACATTAGATACAAACCCCCAAATGCACCGGATGTAATAAGAGCTTGAGACAGCCTGACCTGCACCAGGCGTGGGGGGTGTGTGTCTGTCTGTCTGTCTTCCACACTAGTGGGTAGGTAAGGAAGTAGCACAGCTCTTCAAGCTGTTACCTACGTTATCTCTCCACAGTCTCGCCATGTCCTGCACAGCAGCACCTCTCAATCTGGGGGTCCTGTTACCATGCAGCCTGAACTCGGGAGGCCTGGGCAGTCCGGGACCGCGCGTCCAACCAGCTCCCGGCCGAGGGCACGCGGACCCCGGTCAAGCACAGAGGAGAAGCCAGGGTTGGTGGGGGGGGTTCTGCCCGAGGGCGAGGGGGCAGCGGGCTCGCCCAGGTACTTACCCTGCATCTGACTCTGAGGCTGCGGGTTAAAGGCAGTGGAGTGGTTCAAGGAGGCCCGAGGGTTGGGTGTGGGGGCCGGGTGGTGTGGGCTGACCCTCATGGCCGTGCGCCGCAGCTGCTCCAGCTCACTGAGCCGCTCGGAAAAAGACAAGCCCCCGGGCTTGGTCTGATCGTCTAGTTTCTGACGATGTCCTATTGTGGGGGGGGAGGGAGGGAGGCAAGAGATCAGAACACGTATCGTGGATTTTCTAAAATTTGGGGATTTCCTGTCCTTCCCCTCCCCTCATCCCCATCGTGGGCTCGCTGGACATTTGCACACTGGGCTGGCTCCCAGTGGGAATTTGGGGGACGGTGTCCCCACAGCAGACTGGGGCCCCTTTTGTCACACGGGCCACTGGGTGCTCCCCCAGCCTGGGCTCTGTGCCCACCCGAATCCTCTGCCCCCGTCTCCACAGGGCAGAAGGAAGGGGCGCTCAGAGCTGGGTGGTGGAGGTGATGGCAGGCGGGGGAAGGCGCATTAACCGCTGGCTCCTGGCCACAGGCTGTGGGCTAAGCTAAGGCAGCCAGGAGCAGTGCCCTCCCAGGGGCATGAGATCAGCAGCTCCTCACTGCAAATCAACCCCTGGCAGGTCCCACAGGGCAGCAAAGGGGGCCTGGAGCTCAGTGGGCACGCCCCTTCCAACAGGAAATGGGGTGTGGCTGCGAACCCACCGCCTGGGGAGGCCGGGCTTCCTGGTAAATGCACAGCCTCACAGCCCCGGCCCCTCGGGCTCTCCCTTTCCTCGCAAGCTTTTCATGAGGCTTCTTCCTTCCCTGAAGCTGGCTACCCGGGCACAGCTCCCGAGAGCGACCTGCCTGGAAGGTGCGGCCTGGGCCTCCGCCAGTCCAGTGTTCCCAGCAGGCGGGCCCCTGGAGCCCAGAGGGTGCCTCCCGCAGACCCGAGGAGCCTCCTCGGGGGGCTCAGGAGCCTGAGGTGGGAAGGGGCCCCTCAGGGTCTGCATGGACAGGACACCCTTGCCTTGGACCTTGTCAAAATCACTGTCACCTGGACGCAGATGCCACTCACACAGGACAGGCTGGGAGGGTTGGACCTCTGGTCTCCTCCTAGATCCCTCATCACAATATATTTAAAGTGGAGACCAGGCCTGTCAAGTGGACCCGCTGCTCTGATGTACCGACAGCCCAGGAGCCCTCTTGGGGGGTCCTTCTCCACCCCTGTGGTTCGAACAGAGTCACTGACCCATTTCACAACCCCCCCTGGTTTTCCAGTGGTCTCAAAAGAAGACTGAAGAAGTAGCCTGCTTTCGGCCACAACCAAGGCCCTGTTCACATGCCTGATCCTCGGTCAGAAAGAGGGTCCCTTGAGCCCACTCCCCGCAGCCCGGGCTGGGAGGGGCGGTGGGGGAAGGAGACATTAGCCTGGCTCCCAATCGCCACGACTACAGAATTAAATTTTAATGCTTGTATAATGGCTCCGAATGTCCGTGGCCGGCCGTTTCCCCCAGCTGCCAGGCCCCTTGGCACGGCTAACGCGTCTCAAATTCCAGGGCAGAGAAAGGAGCCACTATAGTGCGGTGACTTTATCACGAACAAGACCTGCTTGGCTCCGAGAGGAGGAAACCTACTTAAGCATAATATTTGTGCAGCTCAAATGTAACGCTCCCTCTTTTCATGTGTCACCGAGGCAAATCTGGACTCTGATTCAGCCCCGCAGCCCATGACGCCCGGCCCGAACACAAACAGCCTGAGTCACGCAGGCCGGCTCACGTGGGAGAGGCCTCTCACCAGCTGAGTATTTTAAGCTCTGGCCTTGTGGGCGAAAGGCCGTGGGGCCAGGTCCCGGAACAACCCCTGTCATCTCTTGCCCTCAGAGGTCCAAAAATGTCTTTTTCTAGAACATTCTGCTTTAGTCCATCACATGGAGTAATTCAGTGTCTCTGGGTGGAGTTTTCCTCGACTCCTCCCTCCTTGTATCTTGGTAACACGTTTCTGGCTTCCTGGTGATCACACTGGAAAATCTGAAGTTTTCTTACAGAAAAGCCCACAAATCCAACTCAAAAGCCACTCACGGCACAATAATCTAGCGCAGTAACGGCCTGCCCTGACCGCAGCCTGGTGCTGGAGTCAAGGAGGAAAGAAGGCAGGTGAGAGGGCTCTGGGGGTCCTGCCTCAGAAAGCGCCAGCCGGTGAAGCAACGGGACGGAGGTCTCCAGCGGGTTCTGGGCCCCATGCTAAACACCATGTGCCGGGAGGGCCCCGCGACACTGCCGAAGGCCGTGGCAGGGTCAGTGAGGGGCCCAGGGAGAGTGCGGGGACCATTCTGAATACATGGCATTCAGCGTTTTAAAGGAAAACCACCCATTGTGTCTGCCTCAGCCACCAAAGTTGGGGACCACGTGCCACCAAGAAACCAAACACAAATACGTCACCTCAGGTAAGTCTCTACTGTGGCCAGGCATGATGTGAGACTATTTTTTTTTTATTAGTCCCCTCTCATTGCCCTATACTCAGAAAAACAAAGTTTTAACACGTGAGCAATTTCTGCATCGGCTGGCAGGCTGCCCAAATTGCATCATACAGAGATTCAGTGATGACGGTCCTTTAGCGGGGACACTGGGTAGACCCCTCAGGGTGGACGGTCCTTCACTCGCTGCTCTTTCTGGCCCTGGGAGCCTCGGGCTGGCTCTAATAATGGGAAAAGTGTCAGGAGTTTGTTCTACACCTGCCCCCGTGTCATCCGGGAGCAAGAGCCTCAGTGTCTTTGCTGGACGGCTGGAGTCCCTCCTTGCAAAGGTGCAGGAGAGCTGGGCGGCCCTGGCGTGGGGAGTGAAGAGCGTCGTCGCAGGGAAGGCGCATCCTTCACAAGCCAGACGGAAGGGACACCGGATTCTCCTTTTCCTAAGCCACCGGGTTTCATGGGCCAAAGAGCCCTGTTCTGTGTGAAACACGGAAGCTTCCCGTATAGACCCGCAGGCGGGGAAAATGAGTCCTCTCTGTCTCCAGGTTCCTGGATCTGGGGGTAATTAAAATGCCAATTTGCCCCTTGAATTTTAAATGCAGAGGATGGAAGGTGTCTGCTGTCAAATTCATTTTTCTTCTTTCTTACTGAGTACGGGGCTTCAGGGGGCGATAGGGGACTCAACCCGGATCCAAGATCTGGTGGAATTACGATGTGGCCCCAAACCGCGAGCACGAGGCCGGCGGCCTGGCTTCCTGAGCACGCTGGGGTCCGTCGTGAATGTTTACATGGTTGTCCTCAGCGTAGAGGCTACCTCAGGATTTCATACTGACTCTCAGTGACTCTTAGGCAGAGTTCAAAAGGAGACACTAAATTATGTCTATTGCCGTTGTCAGATTTTTTTTTAAAGAGTACTTGATTAGAATTTTATTATATATGCAGTCATAAAAAAACCAACAAAAACAAAAAAATTCATCCCATCCACTAAATTTTACTTTGTCATTCCAAAGGCAGGTGCCCTGTGGTTTGGGGACTGGCTGTCCGCGCGGCACCTCTAAACGCTGTGACGTTTGTGAGGGGCACAGGGAGTGGCTCTTGGCCCTCAGCTGTGGGAACTGGACCGAGCAGGGCCCACAGCTCATCGCAACTGGGCTGCCTCCTCCAGGAGGCCCCTGACGATCTGCGGAAGGAGGTGTATGATCTTCCACCAAAGAAAGCAGGTGAGGCTAAGCTGTCACCTTTTCTTAGAAAATTGTGGCTAGTGAGAGTGACTGGCTGGCAGTCAACATGCTGGCCTGTTTCTGATGTGGGTTTTTACTAGTTTTCTTGGTAGATTCTCAGTGGAAAAATTAGGAAGGTGGATATTGTTTCAGCATTGTCATGGTGAAAAACCATGCAAAATGGCAATACCAAAAAATATCTGTCTGTAGGTATGTGTATGTACATCTATCTCTCTGACACACATACACACACACACATTCAAGAGGATATATACAGATTTCAAAAGATGTTTGCCAATCAATCCGATACTAAGGACATGGATCTGATGTAAAAACCGGGATTTTTCTCTCCTTAATTTGCCAGTGCTTCGTGGCTGCGGAAAAGAGATTTACGTGTCGGAGGGACCGGCTGACTTTTCCTCAAATAACACTCTACTCGCCAGGTTCCGGGGTCACTAAAGTCATTAGGACTTTAAAGCAACGATATGAATGCGGCCTGTCTTGAAAGCACCTCGCAGGTGGTAAAACAACCCTTCTTAACTGCAGACCTGACCATCCGCCAGCTGAGTTAATGTTGGCAATGCTGTCCCATATTGCACACTGTATGTTACACATACAATATATAACGTGATAGGAAATAGGTAATGTGTATGTCAATGTATTATAGACGAGAAAACACATTATACATATGTGTTTACATATCACCCAATGTTATATAAACATAAGTAGCTTAACCCCCCCAATCTCTCTCCGTATCATTAAGCTAAGAGCACAGCATGAGGCTGGAGTCCTTCGGGACTGCGGAAGGGCCAGAGAAGTCGGCCTTGTGTTTTAACTGATGTGTGGGAAGCGAAGTTCAGAGAAGTCACGTCGCTGACCCAATGCCACCCAGCCACTAAGAGGAAGAAGACCCTCAACCTCTCCCCGCCTCATGCTCGACACACGTAGAGATAGCAGGCTCTGCGAACCCCGGGGGAACAGTGTGCCTCGCAGTCACGGGACACCGGGGCCTCGACGATGGGCGCTCACCGCCCTCGCCGTCCAGCCTGCTTCCCCCTCCTGCTTGGAGAAGAGCTGAGCCCACTGCTGAGCAGCAGGGAGCTGTGTCCCACGCACCCGAGCAGTGGGGCCGAGAATTTAGATCTCTGCTCAGTTCCTGGAGCGGCTGCTGCTGGCCCAGGAACACCCTGGGGCACGGGAGCCAGGGGGCCGCTCCTCCCCCCAGCGCCTGTGCCTCCAACATGCTTCTGATTCGCCCCGGGATGGAACTGAAAGCACCAAACATATCAGCGCTGTATTTAGACTAAGTGTCCGTGGGCACAGAGTGCTGACCGTGTTTTGGTGATAACTGTTGGGCTTTCTCTTAATTTTCTAATTCTCCGATGCATGCAGAGCCCCTGAGAACGGCAAGGGTCTGCCCTGCAGATTGGTGGGTGGCGACTGTCTCTCTCCCACCATCACTGTGATGAGTCAGGGAGTCACTGTCACGATAATCAGGCCGATCTGTAAGGTGA